CTTCGTGCCACATCTAAAATGTAACATAATGGGAATCTATACAAAATTCAGTCATTTCGTACTTCAGTGGTATCGATCGAGGTGCAGTTCCCGGAAAACCAGTCACACCAACTTCCCAGTCCACCCCACGTTTGTAGGTTACGTTATTATCAGATTAGTCGGCGTACGAAAATCGACGTTAATAAAACGATCATTCGTAAACGCGGCCATGGCAATAGTTCCAAGAATCCGAAGGCGAAAATTTTGGCAGACGATTGTTCCTGGTATCTATAACGCATGTACTTTTCCTGACCTAGTTTATCGCGGCGCAACGCGTTCATATCAAGATAAGATAAAGTCGATCTTGTGCGATTGTTAAAAACAAAAAGTTCATCATAATAAATACATCTGATCGTGACGTCATCCGGCGTTACGTACGCGTTCAAATCCCGTATAATTATTGTGATGACAAATGTGAATCATGCGTCATCGCAATGTATAATAATATGGAGAAAAAGCTAAATAATGTAGTTTGCTGGTTTAGAACTGGTTTTGAGCGGAGATATTCGTTCTTAAAAAAAAGGAAATGTAGATTCGTATTAACACCGGAGGCCGTTCCAGTTACTACGGCAAGCAGAGTAATTGTGCGAGCGCTAAATACCGATTTTTTACACGGTGGCCCAAATATTTCAGTGTTTCTGTTTAAATATTCAGTAATCCTACGTAGGCTTTCGTGGAAGCGTGAGTTTTAATTCAGTATAATCATAGAAACTGCCGATAATTACCATGCATTGCAGTGGTGGCGCCACGATGACATTAACAGTCGGTTTTATTGTTCGAGGTATACTCGGTGTTGCAAGAATTTTCGTAATAAATCTTATTCGGATATTTATAATAATCCATCACCATAATCTTTTATGGCTCGAATTATTATCTACATACCTACATAATTCCCATCATAACTAATTTTAAACGTGGCGTCAAATCAGAGGTGGAGCATTTTCATAATGTACATGTGCCATTCTAAAATTGAACACAAAATGGCGCCGGTCGTAGCAAGATGGGCTCCAGTTTGAGTTTTCTGTGGATACGTATCGGAAAGAAGAAATCAATAACGATTAGGTTTCGAGGGTGGGTGGCCTAGGTCGAATTAACAGCATTTTCCAGAATTCGGCGATAGGGTTCGATCTGATTTTTTCCATGGAAGTCACTCACCTCACCTTATCAAGGTTGTAATGAATTAGAGGCCCCTTGATTTTTTAAACACGGGTGCACTTGCGCATGACTTACAAATTCGACTTAAGTATTACTCATTCATTTCTTAAGTATCACGTGATTCAACGTCACCACCCATTGCACATATAAATTAAATTTTCCTTATCTGCAGTGTGCAGTGTATTTTTTTTGTTACGATTATCATGTCATTCAGCTACGTGGCCGTCGCCTATCACTAATTACGATTTCTCACTAATGAATTAGCGTTAATTTTCCGATAAAAAAGCAGGTCTGCGGTGTATTCACGCCATTATTTCTCTAATTGGCCGTGCTTGTGAATGGGGGATTTCGGCTCGGCGACAACAATGGCCGTAAGTCGGAAAGTTCGTGATTTTGGTCAAAGTTTGCAGATTACGGCGATGCAGCTGGATGCCATCGGCTGAAATCGGGCACACAAGAACTGGTCACCTAACGCAGGAATGCCGATAATGACAAATGTTAGCGTTGGAGTCCTTGCGGCGACCTTGGCTCACTTGATGTCCATTTTAACACGGCCGCCTTAGCAACTACCAGCGATGGGGGCGGCGTGACGTCAGCGGATCCGGTCGCGTTCTGGATGCACCCTGAAAAAAAAATAGTGTGGATGTAGCGCTTTTTGCTTGTCCGGGGAGCCGCGGCATTGGCGGGGTTTCCAGACGTTTTCTCGCGGAATGCAGACGTTTTCACGATGCATTGTACATTTTCACAGGCGTTAGAACGAGACGGATCGATGCGGGGTGTGGCGTGGCAGACGAGGATGAGACGTGTCGCAGCCGTTAAGTTAGGTTAAGGACCCAGACAGACCAGTTTCACACGCAACAAATTTAAAGATCGGGCCGTCTCGGGGCGGCTCGGCGACTCCTCGCGCGCCGATTGGTCCTTCGCGCCGGTTTTACCCACCGACAAAGACACAGCCGGCTTGATTCTTCAGTATGTTCGCGGCGTGGTCAGTTTTCGGTTCGGCGCGGTGGAGGGCGGTTCGCGCTGATCGCCGATTTGCCCGAAGACGGATGGAATTCCAAACGGGTTTTCGCTGCAAGGGGAAAATTGTCGCTGGTGGGCTCACAGTGATTGTGGAATGTGATCTTGAACTTTAATTTACGGAATTAGCCGGCTCTTTCTTCGGCAATTTAGAATTAATGGAGTGGCCATTGTGTTCGCTCCTTGGCCCATTTTGTGCAATTAGGCGAAAACGGCAATTCTAAACAGCGGATATCTTCGCCGGCATCTGTGGAACTTGCGATACTGGCTGGCGCACGGTCTCGGATCCCTCAGATAAGCATTTCCGCCTCGCCGTGCGCCGGTTCTTTTTTCTGGTAAAAATACGAAATATTTCAAGGTTCCAGACGACCGACGGAGTGACGTCACCGAACCTTGGACTCGTTTTGAAAAGCTGCAAAGCGACCGGCACATTTACTAATGATTTTGCGAATCCTTGACTGCGCTATGTTTCGCAACGATCAACTTTCTCGGGCAGGTGCGGGATCGTACATCGCTGGACCTTCTGCTCAGTGCCCGGTGAGTTTTTTTTTTACACAGGAAATTTGGACATCCTGCCTGTTGCTACGCGTGTTACCTCAGTACCTAGGCTTGGGGTTTTCGGAGTCAGGTACCTGAAGTAGCGCGCGCAGCGGTGGTGCAATTCTCGGAATCTCTCATCGGCCACCATGTAGATATAAATTCTGCATATCGGACGCCCTCTGTCACATGTCTATTGTACTTCATCAGGTGCTCTGGTATTTTTTTCCCGACACCTGTTGGAGTGCACTAATTATGTGGCTCGCACCAACATGTGACTTAAATCGGCGATTAATAATTCATCGGGATTTTCTCGAATCGAATCGAGTCGATGTCGATTTTCGCCAAGCCGATAAAAAAGGTCAAGATGCGCGTGTCGTCAGATGTTGCTCATTACCGACTCATTGTTGATGAATTTAACCGAGAATAGGTCAACTTTTCCCACATGGTGGGACATTTATCCTAATACAATCGAACGGAACAAGTATTTATGACTCAGCACGTTACCTTTGGCGGTGACGAGCAGTCGCCTGCTGCATTCAAGACAATTTAAATAAGCTTAACTATTTTATTAGCGGCTTGTTTTATATCCGAATGATCGATCCGATGCTGCCGAGTGATTTATTGTTCGAAATGCGTAAATAAAGAGTCCACATTGTAAATATGTTTATTAACGAAGCACTTCTTCGCATTCCCTTTGTTTTGACTTCTGATAAATTTATAACACGCTAGTAAATAAAATTTATTGTGCTAAGAACACTGTTACCAAGCAAATGAACTTATTGGAATTAAACTTTAGGCACGAAGTTTTCGACTGTGACGCACGAAAATTTCCATTATGTATTTACTCTGACTTTCCCCTTTTTCTCTGACTAATACAAGTTATATCGATTGCACAATACGGTATTAGCATAACCTCACAACTACTTACAAGAAATGCCAAATTAAGTGTAAAGGCCTTTGCTTTATTGTTAATCTATGGTTTATGAGAACAGCTACGAAGGAGCTTTGGGTAATAAAACAACTACTTAATATGCAGGGTTACATTTCGGTATTATTTGCCTTAGGTGCTGCCGGAATTTATTATTGATTTACTTGGAAATTTTACATGCTTCATAATAATATACGATATTTTATTAACAAGACACTGTTACTAGGTAGCTCACGGAGTGCGGCTTCGTCAAATCTGCAAAATAATCAATTCCATACCCATTTGTAATGGATACATTGCGACCGGCTCAAGAAATTCTGCACGTATTCATAAATTAATTAGACCACCCCTCGTGAAGGAACAAACCAATTCTAGGGGTTAATAAATTGTTCTGGTATTGATGCAAAATTTCTAACCTACAAAGTTACACATTCTTTTAATGTTTGCGATTTTTTGGTTCATACCTAGCCGTATCCAAGTGCCAACATAAGAAAGAGACATAATAATAAAAACGACAATTTTTATTTTCAGAGCGTAAGCTAACTTCTTTCACGTTTTCTCGCCGTTTTGCAACCCCAAGAATACGAACGATCTGTCTGTCTGTCGTCTGTGTCGATTTTTATTAGACATATGATCTCCGAAACTATTGGGAGGTTTTGTTGTTAGATTCTAGATGTATTTCAGGAATATCGTCTGAATCGTTGGCGTTAACCAAAGTTTGCCTAGTCGTCCTCACCAACGTGATGTCGCCGTTTCAAAATTTTGCGTAGTAAATGTTTTTTAGATTTTATAAAAAGACAGATTCATGTACTGGTGGTTTATGAATCCGCTTATCAAAGCAAGAACGATTCACCCCATTTTATCGAAAATTTGAGAATACAGTGATGTTACGTCCGTCTATATTTCACAAAAATGCAGTAGTAATTATCATCGTAACAGTTACCCATTAAAATTATATTAAGACGTTTAGCTCCCATTGTAGCGTAATTAAGTCTTCTCTCCTGTACATGGAAATATTTCGATGTATAACTATCAACAGTCGAAGTGAAGAATGTATTGATAATATATTTTTCCCATTAGTTATTTGCTTTAAACGTATTTCGTATTGTCCCTATCTGCGTGAACTCCATTTTAACTGACAGGTTTTTTGCAAAATTAATTACGATTAAAAAGCTGTATTCTGCATCTATTTTGAGAAGCACGAGCATGTTAAATCTTAAATCCAAGTAGGTTGTACTCCGTTAAAAAATGAAACATACCTTTGAAGGCCTAGATAATATAGTTCAAAATCTATAATATCAAAATTACATATACTTACTTCAGGTTGTTGAAGCTTTCAAACTCTGGGTTGTAGGCTGGCAAAAGAGGTCAATAATAACTGCGAATACACAATCCATTATTAATCTGGAATGTATGTAATTTGCATATCGACTATTATTAATATGATAAGCAAATCCTCCGGGATTTACACAAATTGGCGTTATTAAAAGCGGTTTACGATAATTAATTTTTGCATAAGTTAAGATACTTTTCCATATTTTTCAATTTTTGACGATGCAATTATTTTATTGTCAAAATTATAGTTTAAAAATTAAATTGTTGTTGTTTTGTTGATCTACTGCTTTCGAGGCATCATCCCGGTTGTGATAAATTAAGTTCAAGTAGCAGCGAACAATGGGTATCTTTATGTTGAACATAAAATAAAACGTAGACATATAAATCAACAAAAAAAAATGTGTAAGTGAAAATAAAATAAAAAAATATACGAAAGTTTGCAAAACATTTCGTGTTTTCCACAATGGAAATAAATGTTTTTCTAATGGTAACATAAAAGTAGATTCTGGGAACATTTTTGTAAATACCATTTATCTTCAAAGTGAAATGTTATGTTTGAAATTTGATTTACAACATAATGTACGCTGGATTTTACAACTTCGTTGTTTCAATTATATATTTATTAGATATATATTAGATAAGTCATAATAATTCAGCAAAAGAAATATTACGTATTCCAGCGATACTGAAATAAATATTACAGCATATTTTGTACATGTTTCACGTACGTATGTGCGCATATTTTTGTCAAAATGTATGCATATAATATAATCCTGAATTCCATTCATTATCAACAATAGAAGTGTTGGTGTCATTGGAAAACACCATAACTATCATCTGTTAGAAACTGAAGCTTTATGATAAAAAGCAACCTAAGAACATAAAATAGTCATAGTTTTGTTGCCTCGAAAATAATAAGATGTTTAAAAATGGTATTTACCGCTAAATTCCGGTTGTGTTCAGAATTCTGAAATTACTGGCCATATTCCAACAGTTTTTTTTGTAGATTCCATTGCTAACAATGTTTTACTGCTAAAAAATTGTATTTTTTAATTCGTGAAATTGGGCGAAACAACAGATAATTGTAAAGTTAGTTGCGTTAATGTTGGTGAAATGTAACTTACACATGTTTGTTACGCCAAAATTTGTTTGCGTGGAGAAAGAGAATTTTGCTGTTTGCTAGTTGTTTGACAGTATGGTTATGGAATTAAAGGAACAAATTTCTTGACTTCAATCATTACAAAATTAAACCCATGTTAAATTTTGTAAACTACTATTTTCAAAATACGAAATTTATCTCGCATACGTAAAGTTTAAAAGTATTTAATAAAAGTTGAGCTAAAAGTAAAGGGTACTTACATAGAAGGAACATTAACAATTACAAAAATTGAAAATTCCGTATTTTGCAATCTGTAAAACGCCAAAAAACCATAAAGTATTTTAAGAAATGGAGGTTTTATGAAACTTCGCGAACCAATAATAATCTAGAACGAAATAAAACATTATTCTTACTTTCTGGAATTAAACAGTTTAATATAAGTATTGAAGATCGTCGAATATGGAAAATTTCACTCAAGGTTTTGATATTTAAAAAAACATGATACCTTCAAAAACGTATTTTTATAGAAAAATTACTTAACAAAGCATTTTAAATTGATACATGAACACGTACAATACGTACCGATTCAGTTTTGAGTTCTTAAGGCATTACTAAATGTGAAGTAATACTATGTTCCATGTTCTTAGCATCCATGCAGTGTGGAAATTTTTCCTTACTTAATATCTCAAAAAAAACCTCAATCGGTGATACGAGTACGGTACGTATTTTATTGGCAATTGAAGACTAATGAACTGCATACTGATACCGAGTTGGTGGTAATCTGGATAAGTCAAAGTCCATTCTGATTTAAGTTTCAGTTAAGCTTCAATTGCACTATCTAGTGTAGGAGGTCGAAGAGCAAAAGAGCCCCAAGGCCAATTTATAGCTTCTTCAAAATTCTGAGCATTGAAAACGCAGCTGTCGCCGTTCCTCGAAGGTTTTTCTTTGAATGAAAGGGTGAAGAGCAAAAGCAGGTAAGTTTCCAGGGTGTTTTAGGTGTGTTGAGAAATCTGTTCACCGTATGTTTGCTTTACCTTGACAAAGTTACCTACATGCGTAAGGAATCTTCATTTCCGTGTAACTTTTTGTATTTGTAGTAGTGGTAATGGCGGCAGTAAATGTTACTATTAGTGTCTTAGTTATACAAGTCCCACCAGCATATTTTTAATTGGTTAACAGGCGGTTGAATTTGTTGCATACATAATTAACCAGCGTAATATTCTTTTATTTATTTTAATTCTACAATCTATTCATGACTGAAGTTTTTATAATTGTTTGTTGAAGGAATTTGTTAACTATCTAATATTGCTTGCTACGTACAAATGCCACCATAATTATATAAAATGTTCTAAAAATACATGGATTTCTCACTTTAAAAAATTCGAACTACACCCGCAAAAAACACTATTTCTCATTGTTACTAACCGTCAGACAAAAAAAGTACCTAACTAAGTAACTAATAGCAGAAAATAAGATGCTTCGGTCATTTTTTTTAACAACCTCTAAGCAGTTGTAAAAATTGTGTCGGCGTCTAATACACTCACCGGCACGAAAAATGGGCCACCCTTATTTTTTAATTTAAGATCCGAAAATGTTCAAAATAAAGTACGATTTCGGTTGCAATACTTTGATGTTGTTATGGAACGCTTATTGTAATATTTTTATCCAAAAAGAACTAAAAAAATAGAGTATTAATTTAATAGAAAATGAAAAATAATTCAATAATCAAAGCTGAAAAAAAATTAAAGTTTCCAAAAAAGCAAAATCAATGATCATTGGACACACTGTTTAAGGACGCCAATAACGGGTATTTCATGAGATGCCATTCTCCAAGGCATCTCATGAAATAAATTGTTTATTTCTTCTTGTTGGATGTTCTCTCATTCCTTTAAAAGCATATTCTGAAGCTCATCTAAAGTGTGGGGCGCAGGTACACTTAATTAATATGCTAGTCAAGAAACAACATCAAAAATAAGTGTAGTAAAAACTTTGAAGCACTGTAGTCAGAAAAATATTAGCTGTCCCGTTTTTCATGCCAGTGATTGTATTTATACATATTTTATAATTTTGAGGTGACGTCATCAACTTTGGGAGGAGGCAAATAGACAAATTTTAAAAAGTAGGATTTCAAAGCAGATTAATAAACCAAAAGTATAAATACAAGCCTATTATTTTACAAAATTTAAATAGGATATACTTTGCAAAATTTTGAAACAATGTAATCAAATTTGAGTGAATAAATACACCTAAATGATGATCTGCCTTATAAAATAGTTATCATTGTCAAATGCACTCTTATTATGTTCAAAAAGTAATCCTTGTGACTTTGGAAATTGAGTACACAGGATGGATGAAAAACGAATGGTTTTTCAACGTTTCCTAAAATTTAGCATAGAAACAGCGAGACTAGAGAATAACAAAACGGCCAAACATACATTTTCGTATTGTGGAAGCTGTGAAACGTCGAAAAATACTATTGTTGGGAAGAAGCCGAGTTTGGTTGGTCATTTAGTTTCACATATCGAAACCCTTTCGTCATGTTTAACGGTACTTAGAATTTTCGGATTTATTATACATGCACTTGACCTTTTTTATCGAATAGGAAGTATACAGAACCGGAATGTGTAATTTCTAAACGTGTTTGTAAATATCGATAAACTGTATAGATTTATATAATTATGTATAACTGAAAATTCTGTTCATACTTCGAGTCCAAGGCTCAATTACGACGAACAAAGGCATATTGACGATTTGTGGATGTGTTTGTCATGCGTGAATCGCACGTCTGTCGTAAGATTTCAAAGCAATACATTTTTCACTTTTACACCTACAGAGTTTATAGTAAAAATGCAAATTTATTGGTAATCGTTCGTATCTAAAGTATTATACATAGTGTAGACTTTATCAAATAATTTCTTTTCTGTACAACGGGAAACCCAAATTTTGTAGCGATTTGGAAAGAGCATTAGTTCGACACTGTTGTTTTATTGCATTACAATGTCGAATGGCTCCAGTAATATAGTAATAAAATGTATAGAGAAATAATAGTTGTAGATATTAAACAATTTGTTTGGAGGTAGTAGTTATGTTGCTATACATAGGTACTTATTTCATAGCATGTTAATTGCACTTTATGTTGTAGAGGTCCGATGCATTCTGTACCACGAGATGAATGATATGAAGAATATCAACACTGTTATTACAATAATAGAACCCTGTGTAATTGATGCTTTCTGGAAGGTCAAAAAGACGACACGTTTTTTCAAAACCGCATAAAAACAAATAAAATTTGGCCAGATGTGGGCCCAAGTTGCTTTTTCAACAGTTACATCTTTTTAGTACCCCCAGTATAATAACGAACGGTTATCCATCCTTTCCGCCCTAAACTAAACCTTATCTAAAATTGTCTAAGAAATTCAATATCGGTGTCGAAGTTACAGCCTTAAATGTGGTACATTAGCAAGTCTAGACAGCAGTTTTTGTGACTGACTAAATTCTTCAGGGCGAATTCAGAATTTACGAATCAATGGATAAAATTCTTTCCACGTGGGGAATGTTTTTGTCTTTAAGTTGAAAACTAGCCGTGTTTTTTTTTGTCTCCGACAATAAGTGTCTGTGACTATTTTTTACAAGTTTAGGCCAGTTTGTCCACATACAGGTTATTTCATTTTACCGGAAGTAAATTGAGAAAAGTAATCGAGAATCTAAAATTGTATTTGTTTGAGAAGTGCATTACAACAAAATATGTATCAGATTAGAAATTTACTATTCGATTTACTCTAACTCGTACCTTTCAAGTTAGTAGTGGAAGTGAAACAAAAAACAGAGTGGTGTTCTCATTAAACAAAAGGAAGATAATTTTGATTCAATAAGAAGCGTTACGATCAATTTTATGATGCCGTT